GTCCTTGCGGCCCTCAAACGCCTACACGCGAGAGTGGAGAGGTGTGGGGCGTGTACTCTTATAAACTCATCACACAGCCGTTTGACCATAGAAAATTGAAATTCACAGCCGGGACCGAGCTACGTGCCAGGTTTTCGCCGGCCCAGTCTACGTGTCAAAAGGGCGAACCAAGCTGGTGGTCATCATTGTGCTTAGGGGGCGGGATCAAAAATGGTACACGCTTGACGGGGGGCTGTGCTCCAAGTACACGCCATGACCGCGCAGAGAGGCCGTACGCAACAAAAAAAAGAGCCGTTGAATGAATGCTAGCATCACCCAAGCACTTCATCTACCTCATCTCGGATGTGCGCACACTCTTCGTCTGCAAGGTCCGGAGGCTGCACCACCGGCTTCTCTCCGCTCGAGATGCACAGGCGGTAGATGTGGTCCAAGCTCATCTTGCCATACCTACGGGGGGGGAGGTCGCGGTCGGTTGTACTCATGCAAACGAATGCCGTAGTCGTTGGACCATTGACCTCGGGGGGCGATAAAGGCAGCAACACAATAAATAGAGCCAGTGCGATGAAAAAAGCAACACCGACCATCTCAATTTCCGTTTCAGGGGAGGCCGGGTGAGCGGACGGAAGGGCAACTTGAAGGTAGCATTAACACGACAACAACAACAACAACAACAACAACAACGTAGCACAAACCGGTTGCGGGCACGTGCCCAGCTGTTGTCCGTGAGTGAATCGTCTGCACGTGATGTTGTGAAACGAGAAAAACGCCGTTGTCACAGGTTGTTACATGAAACCGTCGCTCGGTGGGTGGGGCGACTAGGAGACTAGGAAGGAGCCAACTCACTGATTGTCCACGTTGAAAGCCGTGAAGCCCAGCTCCCCCGCCCCCGCGTGGGAAGCCCTCCGGTCCCCCTAGGGGAGGAGACACGTCCCAACCGGAACAAGAACAATTGAACGAGAACGAGATCGAATTTAGAACGAGCGGTAAGAAGGAGGACAGAGGCAGAAAAAACACTACGGCAATGTATACTGTAACGAAAGGAAGGAGGAGAAACAAAGAGAGGTAGACAACGCAAACACAAACCAAAATACAAAAGTACAGAGCAAGAGAAGCACTGGCAGGAAGTGTGGGCGTACTGGAAGTCAAGTCAGCATCATCAACTTGTGTGTGTCGGTGTGGACCGCTCGCAGTGCGGTTGAACCGGACAAACAATTCTCGACACTGTGTCGCAACAAAACCAAGTAGCGACAACGACGACGACGACGACGACGACAGCAACAACAACATCAACAACCACCACAGCAACATCAACAAGAAGCAGCCACAGCAACAACGACAACAACAACAACGACAGGGACCCAACAAATTGATTGTTTTCACGTTCTGACCTGGGTGAGAGCGCCCAAAGACTCTAGCCGCTTGGCCACCGCCGCCGAGAAGCGTGTCTCTCCACAAACCTCGCTCACGATCAGCTGGTATATCGGAGGTTGGAACTGCATGCATGCGTGCATTCGAAACACAACAGACAGGTGGGGAGCGAGAGACAGAGACAGATGGAGAGAGAGAGAGAGAGAGAGAGAGAGGGAGAGACATATAGACAGACAGACAGACAGACAGACAGACAGAGAGAGACAGAGAGAGACAGAGAGAGACAGAGAGAGAGAACGAACGGAGAGGGACTCACTTTTGGTCACATAAAAAAAAACAAAAATCGACAAATGATCTGGCAGCGACATTTGGCCGAACGACGTTTGTGTTCCCCGAACCGTATGAGCGGATAGATCCGGTAGTGGTCCCTGCATAACGGCCGCTTGAACAGGGCCGGGTGCCCGGCAAAAGATCCGTCCAAATGTCTTGGTACTAGACAGCAGGGACCCCTCTGCTGCTGTACCCACAGCGACGCATGTATGTATGCACACATATTGGTACCTGGTTGGCCCTGTGGGTTCTGCCCAGCTGCTGGATGGCCTTGTCTGCGGACCAAGGGAGTTCCAACGTGATGTGCAGCCTGGACGAGTGGGGTGGGTGGGGAGCCAACACCGAAACCGGCAAGACAGACGGCATGAGAGAGCCATTCATACATGTAATTTACACATGAACATGGTGAACACGGTCGGTCCCGGTTTAGCGGTCCATGGTGTCAAAAAAAATCATAAACCGCTATTGGGGGCATCGGCTCTAAACCGGATTGGCAGTTGTATGCTCCGCAGTAGTCAAGTAAATAGTAGCTTGACTACCGAGGTGCAACCGTGCCACGAGATTTTGGAACCGCTGTTCAGGGCATCCCGCTGAACAGGTAACCGCTAAACCGGGACCATGACTGTATAAACGTTTTTCGGGCTGTTTGCCGCCTGTGTCTGTAGCGTGACGGGAAACGGGCGAGGAGAAAAAAAAAAAAACGAGAGCTCAGCTGGGAGAGCGTGGCACCGAGGTTGCCAAGGTCACTGGTTCGATCCCGGTTAGAGGCATCTTATTTTTCGAAACTATTTTGCTGCTTTTCCCAGTTTGCTCTTCCTGTTCCGGCTGGAGGCGTCAATGTTCTGCAGTCCTTGCCAGCCTCTATAGCTCAGCTGGGAGAGCGTGGCACTGAAGTTGCCAAGGTCACTGGTTCGATCCCGGTTGGAGGCATCTTGTTTTTCGAAACTATTTTGCTGCTTTTCCCAGTTTGCTCTTCCTGTTCCGGTTGGAGGCGCCAATGTTCTGCAGTCCTTGCCAGCCTCTATAGCTCAGCTGGGAGAGCGTGGCACTGAAGTTGCCAAGGTCACTGGTTCGATCCCGGTTGGAGGCATCACATTTTTTCGGATTATACTTTTCTGTTTCTCCCGGTTCGGACTACTTTCGCCCCTTTCTTACAACCCTCACGTGCATTTCAACAGCACGTGGCAGCTTTTCTTTTTTTTCTGGTTCCTTCCGTGTTTCATCCCGGCTGGAGGTACCAACCTATTTTTTGACATTTTTTTTTTTTGTATTTCGACCAAAAACATTTTTGGGCCATCGCATTTCCCGCGATGGCGTTGTCATCGAGTTCCTCCCCGATGCATGGCCTCTTCACGCTTCCGAGTTGCATTGCAGCACAGCACACCACCGCGCGGCCCAGCAGTTAACTAACTACACAGCTGCTGTGACAAGGGTAGCCGAGATTTCTATCTTCTCTGGGGGCCCATGTCCAAGTCCCTTTTTTTATCACTCCCGCGCTCTGGACGCCTCATAAATCACATGCATTCGTGTCCCTCGCCTTCGTTGCAATACACTCGATTGGTCAATACAATAAACCGTTGGTCTGATGACACTCATATCCCCATATTCAATACAACACACTCGTGCATTGCATTTTCTATGTATAGTAGCATGCTGCCCAAAGTTAGTGCGAACTTGTGCTGAATGGCGCCCTTTTCTTTCTGAGCTACGGTACGTTTTGTTTGGTCTTAAGAGTTGCATTTACTTGTTGTCAGCTGGCGTTACACGCCACAAATGACTGGACTTGCACCACTCTCCTGACGTGTACAATTGTATCGATAGTAGTGTGGTGTAGGCTACAAACCGTAGGGTAGTCAAGACCCGCCATTTAAACGACGACACTTCTTCGTCGTGTCAATCGACCAAGACAAGTCCCTCCACGCTCTGGTCGGGCAGCCGGGAAGAAACGTCAGGAGGAACGAGTACGGCAGGAACTGAAAAATGTAAAAGACAAACAAAAAACAACAAATGTGCCACGAAAACCAACAAAAGAGAGGAAAGAAGAAGACGTAGAAAAAAAGCGAGAGAAAAAGAGAACGGAGAGAGAGGGACAGAGGGAGAGAAAGACCACCGTACGCGAATAGGCTACGCACAGGGAGGGATACGAAGATTTCTATCCCATCCCATCCCGTCCCGTCCCATCACCTTCGTCGCGGGTTTTCCGGACGCGTCCGGTTCGCGTGAAGGGAGACCCCAGCGGAGGCGGCGTCGGAGATTATGGCCACAAGCTTCCTGCCCTCGTTAAACTCCGCCCTCTCGAAGTTGTTCTGGAGGAAGAGGGCAAAACACGCCAAGCCGCATGTATGCATGTGGGCATACACGTATGCATGGGTAAACTAGTTGTTCAATAGGAAAACTCCACCTTGCGCTGGTACAGCACCAGTAAGTGCCCCCAGGGTTCCCGTCGGCGGTCAATTTCGGCGTCACTGAAGTGTGATTGGCCGAAAAAGTTTGGCTGCCCGGAGTGTGAGGTCCGTCAGGGTCGAAAAAACGGTTTTCTTTCATATGTATGAAATCCCAACCTAAGAAATCCAGGCGAAAAAAAAAAAAAAAATCCAACAACTTGGCCAAAAGAACAGGTGCTCAGGCAAAGAAGCCTATATCTATACACCAAAACCTCTATAGGTTCTGTTGGAAGAGATACCCCACAGATAGACAACAAGTAGGAAACGATCCTCGGCCCTTTTTAGAGGTTCTTGAGTGCGGGCGCTTATCTGGTGTAGATGTATAAATATAGCATACAACAATGATGACGATGACGATGACGATGACGATGACGATGACGACGACGGCAGTCACAGTTTCACAGTTTCACAGTTTCACAGTTTCACACCTGTTCGTCAATGCCGGCGGTGTTGTTAGCGTCTCGTTTCTCGAGATACACCTTGCCGTCGTCCGCCTTGACCATCCTGTCTTGCCGTCCCGTCATCTCCGCCACCGCCTGTGAGTACATACGCACGTACGTACGTACGCATACACATCCATTCGTCGTTCGTTGTTCACGTTTCGCCGCGCATGTTCGTCTGTCTTGCTCACAAACGTATGCTTGAATGCGTGTAGCGGCTACGAAAGAAAAAAAAAAAGAAGACAAAAGTGTCCTATAAACAGGGAAAACAAGAAAAAAATACAGGAAAATTAGAGCAAAATTAGAGCAATATATAAAAAGACCGAAAAGGAGAGGACAACGACGCCAGCACCCTCGATCGTGCCGTGTGCCAGCGGCCCGCCAACGGAAACGTCTCAAAACGAATAGAAAACCTCCGCCGTGTCATGTGCTACACAAAGCGGACCAGGGACCGCCATCTGCCGCCGACGTCTTGGCTCCAGGTTCTACAGCAACGATGATGCGAGTATCTGCTCTGACCCACTCAAGTACCGCTGCTGTTGTACGGGCTGATTCTGCAGGACGAGTAGCCCGTCGTCCGGAAACGAACAAGAGTGAACACCAGGAAAGTCCTTGCTCTGTCCGACTGAGCGTTCGTCGTCCTACATACTCTCGCCGGAACGTGTCAAAAAAGGACGCGAGATACATTTTTGTTTTTAAGGCTGCACGTGCAGTATTGCAAGAACGTGCCCTTGCCAGAGCGTACGGTTGCACACGTTTGCTGTGCCTTGCACTGCTTGTAGAGCAGGGGGAGAGAATAAGTAAAAAATCGCGAACAGCAGTACCACCTGGAATCGTCGACAAAAACGCAGCAACTGCTTGGCAATATTTGCCTCCATCTAAGTGGCGACCATCAATCAATCTGTTCAATGTCTTCTTTCGCTCCTGTTTGAAGCAAGCTGACGCCGCCATCGCGAGAGTCGTCGTCTTGGGAGAACGGGTATCTGTTCCTACAACCTTGGCAAGGCCTATCCATCTATACACCAATGCCAAGACTATTATCCCCCCCTCGTGCATGACTGTTCTGAGAAGATCGTCCATGTAGCTTACTCGGGGCATAGGAAGTGGGCTGAGAAGGCGGGAAGTGATATCGATAAGATAGATAGGATAAGGAAAACGTTTTAACGTTTTTCTTGTGGCACGTTTGGCAAAGCGGGAAGGAACGATTGGCCATCGGTGATAGATCAGTACCTGTGGAAAACACTCCGTCCTCGCGTGATCAACGGTCTAACAACTAGCGCATCTAAAACATGAGTAACCCCCCTCCTCGCCCTCTCTCACGTTAGGCCCTCCCAGCTTGTCCACGAGCTGGTCGAGCGGCGGGTGTGGTAGGACCATGTAATGGATCCTGTCGAGCCAGGCGTGTAGCCTGCTCTTAGCCAGGTCGAACTTGGTCTCTCCCTGCCCCCACAGCAAGGTGTCTTCCTCCTCCGTGAAGCTGCAAACACAAGCACACAGGGACAGGGCATGAAGACAGTATTTTCCAAAGAGGAACAAGTCGGGAGAATCACACACAGGCATACATAGGGCCGACTGAATTGAAAACAAAAATGAACAATACAAATTGGGCCTACTCAATTGTTTGCACAACGAAAAGAAACAGCAGTGTGGCGAACTTGGGCGAAAGAGCGGCAGCGGGAAGTCTGCGGAATTTTTCTTCTTCTAATGTACGCGTACATAGTTGGACGCGTTGTGTCGGTCCGAACCTCCGGAGGTCATCCACCGCAAACATCGCAGACGGCAGTGACATGAGTGTGGTGTGCCGTCAAAGAGAGCCAGCAAACGGAGTGATACTTGCGACAGACACCACGCGGAACAGACGTGCTGTGAGGTGAGACAGTCTCCTCGGTGGTTGGTATGCGCCTTGAGAACGTGTATTGTGTACCAGTGGTCAACACACGCCCAGCCCTTCAGCTTGAGAAGTGAGTGCCACGTCCAAGGTGACAACACCACTGAGAGAGACAGACAGAGAAAGAGAGACAGCCAGACACAGACAGACAGAGAGAGGCAGATACACACATAGAGAGAGAGAGAGACAGGCAAACAGAGAGAAACAGAAATATGCCGGAAAACACAGTCAAGGAACAGACTACAGGACCAAGCAATGAGACAAAAGACGTATATGGTACTGTACAAACCTCGGAATGGTGGGGTCAGGCGAAGCCGTCTCACCACCGCCAACGCCGCCGCCGCTACCACCACCGCCGCCGCCGCCGCCACCGCCGCAACTACCACCGCCACCGCCACCACCGGCGGCGGCCCACTCCTCTTCGTCGACATCGATCTCCTCGACATCCACAACCTGGTGGGCAGGGGCCGGTACCAGCGGTGGTGTTTCGATTCCGTCCACGGCGACGGCGGCATCGTCTCCGGTTTTTTCCTCGTGGTCCGGAGAGTGCTCGAGTGTCTCCGCCTCCTTCGTCGCCCCTCCACGTGCCAAGGGCTTGGGGGGTTTCCAATCCAGAGGCGACAGGCCATCATTGTCCTGGGGGGGGGGGGGGGGGGTAAAACAAAAAAAGGGGGGGCTTCCAATGTTTCTATGCAAAAGTCCTTCTTCGGTGTGGTTTGTTGGCGGCAGT